AAAGTCAGGCTTGAATATATTAAACGTCCAATGGACTATTATTTCATTTACTGAAATCTATTATGATACTCATTTTTATGTGTGATGGAATTTGATGTTGATTTTAAACAGGAGTAAAAATGAATTCTACTTGGATTCTACTGTGTCTATGCATTTTAATTTCACAAATACTTAAATACATCTATATGTTTTTGGTACTGTGGGCCATACAGAGATGGGTGTCTTGCCCACAGTTACCATGAAGATGCAGTTTCCAGACCCAAATGTCGCAGTTGTTCACTTCTGAGATAAAGCATTCCTGATAAAGGCAAGAGCTTGAGCAAAGACCTAAAGATAAGAGTATTTAGCTCTTGTTTTGGAAAACATGGTTAGTATGCAAGGTCTGGTGAGATTTGGCATGTGGAAAGGGTACCTCTGGTATACGCAAATGCCCACAGTCCCATGGGAGTGAAAGGTGATGACAGAAAAGCACAGGATCTCAGGAGACAGGCAAAGGGAACAGGTAAAGGTCAACTCATTACCTAAATACCACAGAGCTTTCATTCTTAGAATGAAAACCTAGTTCCTACCTCCCTATGGCAAAAGATCATTGGACTTAGAGTCCCAATTCCAATACGATTGTTACATGGCTAGTGGTGGATTTAAGAATGGAGTTGATGATACCTAGCTCACAAAATTAACATGAGGATTAAATAAAGCAACATATAAGCAAACACAGTGCTAGCTGTAACCTGCCATAGAGTATAAGGGGCCAATAATCGTGCATCCAGAGTGTCAGCTTTGTTAGCAGCCATGGCTGGTTGCATTTAGACTCAACTAAAAATTCCTCCAGATCTCTGTCAGTTACGGTTACATGTGGCTACATTCCATAGAAAACCAATTGTGTTGGCTTACGCAAATAAGAGATTTATTATTCTCAAATAAAAAGTCCACACGAAGTCATTCCAAGGCAGGGCTCAAGTCCAGCCTTAAGGACTCAGGCCACTTTTAGATGCCTCTTCACCCTTAGCATGTGGCTTTCATCCACATGGTCATAAGATGTCTTGAATTGGGTTCCCCAGGAAGGCTTGAGACCAGGATTCATCTGCAAGTAGTTTATTTGGAAGGTGATCCCAGCAAGGTAGGACAGTAGGGAAGTGAGACAGGGAAAAGAAAGCCAATCCAGGGTGCAGTAATGAGTGGGTTTCTGCTTTGGGCGACTGGTGTGAAGTCCCATTGGGGACCTCAGGGAGTTCTGTCTGCCCCCAGTGTATGTAGTTCATGCCTCAAAGGCCCAACCTGAAAGCCAAGCAGCTCAGATATGTATGCACCAGCTCCTGTCATTGAGGGCTACTCGCAGATTCACTAACTGGCACTTTCAACCTGCCACACACAGGCTGGTATGGTTCTATAACCAGCAAAAGTCCTCAGTAGAGTCACAGGAGCTTTCAGGAGGAAAGAGCTTGAGCAAAGATCTAATATCCTGTTGAATATAGGAATGGTGAGTGTCGAGGGCTTATGGATGGAACGCTGACAACACCTGCTATTCAGGACAACTCCTTCACCCTCAGATTCACTAACTGGCACTTTCAACCTGCCACACACAGGCTGGTATGGTTCTATAACCAGCAAAAGTCCTCAGTAGAGTCAAAGGAGCTTTCAGGAGGAAAGAGCTTGAGCAAAGATCTAATATCCTGTTGAATATAGGAATGGTGAGTGTCAAGGGCTTATGGGTGGAACACTGACAACACCTGCTATTCAGGACAACTCCTTCACCCTCAGTAACACGTCTATATTCCAGGAAGGGAGAAGATTAGAAGGACAAAGCGCAAAGACACATAGCAGCTGAGTCTACCTTTTTATCAAGATGATAGATTTCCTGGAGCCTCACCTGACTTCTGTTACTTGGCTGCCAGAAATGGACTACGTGGCTACCTGTTATAACTGTAAAAAAGCCTGGGGAGATGCATATGTGTACTTTTTAACTGGATACTTTGCCTGGAAGGGCTCTATTATTAAGAAAGGAGGGTAAGAATGGAAATTGTAGGCAACTGGTAATGTGCGGCAAGGTCACCTTCACATGAATTATAGGAACAAGATGTGGTTGGTTCTGTAGTGGATAAAGTTGCAAGCCATGTTCCTTGAAGATATTCACATGCATCAACAAAGCTAGAATCAGAAGCAGTAAATATTAGTCTAAACCTTCAAACCGTTGGGGCGCTTGGGTGACTCAGTCAGTTAAGCGTCTGACTTCGGCTCAGGTCATGATCTTGTGGTTCATGGGTTCGAGCCCCACATCGGGCTCTGTGCTGACAGCTGCCTCAGAGCCTGGAGCCTGTTTAAGATTCTGTCTCTCCCTCTCTCTCTGACCCTCCCCTGCTTACACTGTCTCTCTCTCTCTTTCTCTCTTTCTCTCTCAGAACTAAATAAAAAAAAAACATTAAAAAAATTTTTAAAAACCTTCAAGCCATCACATTGTTTCCAATATGCATGGTTCAAATGGTAGACAGACAAGTTATAAGATTGTACTGAGGTATACTTGTCTTATCTTAATCTAATTACTCATTAACATGTTAACTGAGACAACTGCTATTTGCAGGTGCCTCCAGGGGCCAATGACTCCACAATGATAGTGACTGGCAAGTGGTATCCTTATTGAGCTGGGACCCAACTGGTGAGGATCCAGACATTCAAAGGATAGGGGAAGAGGCACTCCAGCTGAAGGAACAAGCAACGACAAAGGTCCTAGGGAACAAGGTTGGCCTATTAGAGAAAGAGAAGAAATAGGCCTGTGTGGTTGGTGTGGTGAGAGAGAGAGAGAAGCAGGCAGGGGCCAGAAATTTGGTTAAAAGTTTTCAAAGCGTGTTTTGGCTGGCCCCAGAAACACATTTTTTAATGAAGAAATCCTAGAAGTACCTAATTTGGAAGAGGAGATTTTACATATTTAGGGAGGAATGTTTGATCACTCAATAGCACAACTTTGTCCTGAAATCATCTGCAGCTAAAACAAAAAACAAAAAAAGATTGTGCTAATTTTCTTTAAGGAATCGAACTCCTTCAGATTTCCTTAAATTCCAATCATGTTCTTAAGTTTTCATGTTTTTGCTGGAACCTATTGATTAGGAAATATATATGTAAATATACATATGTCTCTCCATCTGCCTGAAAGATATCTGGCTACTGCCAGCATGCTTATTCTTCCTGACAGTTGGGAACTCTGCTTTGCCTCCTGCTCAGCCGTGCAATAGGCAGGACTCAAGTGCCCTAAGTGATGATCAATCAGGCTTCAAGGGCCCTCCTGATAGAAGAGCCACCCCCTGGGAAATAGTTTGTCCCTAAGCAGAAGGGAAGTTCATCAGTAGAAACTCCCTCTGTGCAGCAGTTTTGCTGTGTGAATCTCATTGCTCTTTCAGAAACTTCAGGCAGACAATTGGACCAAGCCTAAGGCTACTCTACTCAAACTCCTTGACCCCATGGGCACCAAGCCATGCCTATTCAATTTTTCAACGAAATGTTTGTTGCACACAAAGTAGGGACACTACTGTAAACAAAATCAGAGGTTATCCCTGTTCTTGGGAACTTCAGCCCATGAGAAGACAGAAACTATTCAAATAGGTACATATAGGGTATTTAATTAAAAACTGAGAAGCATGCTAGCAAATGATTCAATGAGATCCTAGAACTAAGAAGCCTGATCTAATCAGGGGTCAGAGAAGAATTCCCTAAAGAAGTGACACTTAAAGAAATAGGCAGAGGACTTACTATGTTCCAATCCCTGAGCAAGAAACTATGACTTTAAGTCGTGGGTCCCATTGAGAATGAATTTAAAGATCAGTAGAAAGATCAGATGTTTCTACAATAAACCACTTGAAAGAGTGTGTCATCAATTGTTAAATGGATTAGCACTAGATAACAAATGCAAAAGAGCTAAAGATAAAAACTCAGTGGTAGCAAAGGATGGGCAGCACCTTGTGGCTGGGGTGAGATGTGGGCTAGATACAGAAGGGTGAAGAAGTCGTTGGAAGGAAATGGATTAATCTGATCATGGAACTCAGAAATCATCACTGATGTCCTATCATCTAAGCAGAAAACAAATCCAATTTCCTGATCCTCCATGATCTGCTCCCAATCTGTCTCCTTTATCATTTAAGGACCCTTCCACTCCCTTAGAAATATGCTAACATATCCTTCCCTTTATATTATAGTCACTCTTTCCTTGACAGTTTGTGAGCAAGTTGAGAGATAGCATCATTAGTCACCAATCTTTGTACCCCCTATTCCCTAGGGCAACACCTTTCATATGGAATAGATAGTAAATGTTTAATTTAATGCAGCAGGAGGGGTGAAACTCTTGTGTTATGGTGTATGACCATGACCATGACCATGACCATTGGTCAGTTTGAGACTGATGAGGGCTTGAGAGGTGTGCCTGCCCCTTCTCCAACAGCACTCTCTTCTTTGGCAGGCATCACCCACTTTCAAAGTTTTAAATGCCATCTTCACACTGGTGACTCCCAAATGGATATTTTCAGCTCTAAATGCTCTCTTCCAGACTCATGGATCTAACACCTCCCTACTTGGCGTCTCCACTTGGCCAGTCATCTCTAAAAGGCATCTCAAAATTAATATGCTCAAAACAGGTTTTTTGACTCCCTGCCTTGATAACAAAAGAATACATCAGTTTCTACCCCCACCATCTTCTCTCAGCAAATGGCACCACCATCTACTCATTTGCTCAAGCCAAAAACCTGTGCCATCCTTGACTCAATTTGCCTTACTCTTCATATCCAATAAATCAGCAAGTTCTGTTGTCTCACTTCAGAAAACATGTATCTAATCCACCCACTACTCTCCACTTCCATTGACACCATCCAGGTCTAAGACACTATCAACCCTTTCCTGTGCTATTTGAGGCCCTTTGAACTTCCTGCTTCTGCTCTTTTCCCACAGGTCATTCATTCTCCATGATGCAACCAGAATGAACTTTCAAAAGCATAAATCACACCATGGCTTATATCTTCCTGTGTTTCCCATCATTAGAAGAAAATTCTAGAAGAAAATCCAAACTCCTTACCATGGCCTATGGCCTTGTATGAGGTAGGTCTTTACTGGGCTCCTCACTGTGTCTGGGCTTATCACTTGCTACTCTCCAATTCACTCATCACACTCCAGCCATCCTGACCTCCTTGTTCAAACACTCCAAGCTTGCTCCCACCTCAAAACCTCTGATCTTATTGTTACCTCCACCTTCAGTGATTTTCCCCCACATGGTCCCTTCACTGGCTTCTTCCTCATATTCAGAGGTACTCAGCTCATTTGTCCCCATTTCGGGAAGGCCTCACTGACCACATAACAGTAGGTGCACCCAGGGCTAGGGTTAGAGTGGGGGTTACATAACTCTTATTTTCATCACAGTGTTTGTCACTGTTTGTCCCAGAATACCATAGTCTGGGCAGATTAAACAACAGGAATTTACTTCTTACAGTTCTGGAGGCTGGGAAGTCAGCAATCAAGGTGCCAGAAGATTGGGTGTCTGGTGAGAATGTACTTTCTGGTTCACAGAAGGTGGTCTTCTCCCTGTGTCCTCCAAGGTGGAAGGGGGTGACAGACCTCTCTGGGGCCATTCATAAGGGCTTCACTTTCATGACCTAATCACCTCCCCAAAACTATACCTTCTAGTACCATCACATTAGGAGGTAGGTTTTCAACACATGAATTTTGGAGGATATAGTCAGTCTACAGCACTATTTGATATTAATTTTTTATTTCTTTGTTTACTTGTCTATCGTCTATTTTCTCCAACTAGAGTATCTGTTACATGAAAACAGGGACCTTAAGTATCATTTTCCTATTGTATTTCCAGCAACTAAAACAGAGCTTGGCACCACGTTGGCAATCACTAAATATTTGTTGCATCGCTGATAAAGATGGATTGGTGAACACTGAATGATTGTGTGAACTTGAAATTATTTAGCATCTCTGCCTCAACTTACCTCCTTCCCAGATGTAGACTGAAAGTATTATGCTACTTGTCTCTCCTGAAACACAAAGGAGGTGGTAGCTGCAGGCTTTCCCACTTATTTTGAGAAAAATATTGGAGTGTATGGGCAAGGAGCCATTTGAAAGTGGCAATGACAGCCTAATGGAGAAAGAAATTCATTTGTTTTATTACCCGTGAACCTCCTGAGGACTGCGTAAGATGGGGGAAAATGAAATGTACCCATTTGTAATATAAAAATTCATAAATACAACTTACATTAATTCAAAGTAGAGTAATACTTTGTTTACCTGGCATCAATAGGTATTTTGCTAAGTGTTTTTGGGTTTTTTTTTAGATAGTTAATGTTCCCATTGTAAGACTCTTTTCAATTTGACTATTTTAATGGAAATAGTTTTCAAATGAATTTCAGTGCCACTTTCTCTGGCAAACACACTAAACAGAGCCCTTTTTGTCACTAACCTGGGGACATCATTATAAGCTTATATCATTATATTTAGGTATAAAATAGTGATATACTCCAAAATCACAGAAATGTAGAACTAGCATGTTTTCTGATATCTCTTATGTGTATTGCAAGGGTTTTTGTCTCTTCTTTCATTGATTTAATCAACAGCTAGCACCAGCAACTTGGTTACTGAGGACTATCCCCACAGGGTGATAAGCAAGAGAAATGTGGTCCCTGCCTTCCTAGAGCCCACAATCTGCTGGGGAAGATGACAGTAATCAAGTAAGTACAAGTAGGACAAGAATCTTAAACTCTTCCCCTGGTGCTTGGAAAGCCCCACCCCCACCCCCCCAACAAAGAAATGGCCTTTAAGGGGATTCCTACAAAGAAGTTGCTCAGGGCAAGAGTGTTCTCTGAAGATGGGGACACATGTGTAGGGGCCGTGAAAAGACAGGGTGCATTCGAGCAGACAAAAGAAGACTAGCATGGCTCCTGATAATGCTGCAGAGTCCTGTGGGCCCAACAATAGGTCCCCTACTCTCACAGACCCAGGCTAGGAATTCGAGTCTTCATTCTAAAAACAAATTAAGTGTTTTTAAACACGGTCAACATTATACTTCAAAATATGTGTCATAAGAAAATTAAGTAACCACTAAACCTGTTTGTGCTTTCACACATACCTTTGGTTCAGATGAAGTTAAAATATGTGGTACCAGAGTAATCCACCTTCCACGAACTATGAGATTAGTAGTTGGTGTTCAGGATCATAGGTATCTTGCAAAAATTGAGAAGTAGATATTCAGGTTTGGAAAGTGCAAGTTTCAGAAAGGAACCTCATTATTGCAAGCCTATTACAATATCGTTCATGTAAGAGATCAATTGAATTCAGTTCAACATTGTCTGAAGTATCTGCTATCTACCCAAGGCCTAAGGAGAAGTTTGTTAGGGCAGATGAATATGCGCGGGGAACAAATGCCCGAGTTCCAGGCCTGAGCCCCCTTGGGGAAGTCTGTTCCCCTACTATGGACCTCAGCTTCCTCTCCTCCAGAATAAAAAGATGCCCTCCACCCTTGGGAATGCTGAGATGCACAAAGCTTAGAGGGCAGGAGGCTCAAAGGAGTCCCCACCACCTACTTACCAAGTGATCCTAGGTTACTTATCTCCTTTGGACATCACGTTACCTATTTATGAAAACCCTACCTCAATGAATGGTTGTGATGACTAAAATGCCTGGCACAGAGAAAGCAGTCAGGAAATATTAAAATCACTCTTATAGCTTAATATCGGATGGCTCACTCAATAGCCCAATAAAACAGGAGAAAGAATTTGGAAGGGAGTGCTTCCTACAGGAAAAAAAAAAAAGAGAGAGAGAGAGAGAGACCGCTTATGAATTAAGAACTCGTGCTACATGTTATATTTTTCTGTATCCTTTTGAGACTTAGTAACATTTTGGGAAGCATCTTGCACCATCCATCTGTCCAACATTTGTGCTCTGGAATATCTTTCCTTTAACAGCTTGGCAGACTCTGTTTCTCATGTAAGCTGTGCTGCTATCCCTCGTCTATCTATTCTGAACATGTTATTAACCTGAGCTTGCATGTAGTAGTATAAATTCTGCTAAGAGCCAACATTGTCTTAATTTCTGAGCATCGGTGCAGAAATATGCTTGCATGGTTTCTTTATGCTCTCTTTGCAGACCCCAAGGGTGTTAATAACAAGTCACATAGCGTCTATTTCTCTTATTATTTTCAAATAACTGGGGTTTAAATAAGTTTAACGCATGCATATTATTTTAAAGTATGAACAGTATAGAATCTTTTTAGTTAAAAAAATCTTTTTTTTTTTTTGTTTCCCACACCCTGCTTCCTGATAATACTCCCCATATATTAGCAGTATTTTATACATCCTTCCGGAAATATTATCCCTTCCTTCCTTCCTTTCTGTGTATATCCCATATAATTGTCCTTAGTTTACACAAATAAGATTATATAGTCATGCTTTCTCACCTTCCTTCCTGTCTGTATTTTATACCATTTTATTCATTTTACCAAAATAGAATGCTGTATCTTGGACATTTTTCCATAGGAATACCTATCAATCTGCCTCATTCTTTTACATATGCTGGCATTACATTAGTGGAATGTACCCTTTAACCAACCCTTGCTGATGGGCATCTTAGTTGTTTCCAATCTTTTGCTCTTATCAATATATTTGTAACATATCTCTGGACATAGATCTTTGCACACTTGAGGGGCTTTATCTGTAAAATAAGTTCTTAGAAGTTTTAAAACACAGAATAGCATCCTTCTCTATGTTCGCGAAGCCATAAGCTTGTCAATGCTGATGCCAGACCTCCAAAGACAGCTCCTTCGATAAAGTATCTGTCTTATTAGACAACATAGGTACAATCAGTACCTTGAAAGCTATCATTAATCTTTACAATGAAGATAGGTAATGATATAGCAAAGTCCTTATCAAATATCTGACATAGCACAGTTACTTGATAGACAGAGGTCATATTGCCTTTATCCTTCTGAACAACCAGTCAATAATTTATCCCCAAGGCCTGAGGCTAAATATAACTAGAGTCAATGAGTTGGTACGATGTTAGTAAATTTTAGATGGCACTGTTTTTAGGATACTCAGGATGTCTGGTAGAACAAGAAAGTCCTTTTTAGGTAATGAAGGGAAACTTACAAAGCACTATGCTTCAATATTGGAAATTTTCTCTGGCTAGTTCTCCAAGAAGCCTTGATATTTTCCACAACAAAAATCAATCCATAGCTGGCAGGTGTTATTCTGAACACTGAGAGAAAAGGAATTGCCAATTTAGAAAAAGTAGTGTTGGTTTTAAGTTTAGCGAGTCACGAGAACATGATTTGAAGGAACCCTGAGCCAGAGATTCATTCATTCATTCAACAAATCAACATTTGTACCTTGTTAGGTCCCAGGCAGTGTTTCAGGTTACAGAGGATGCAGTGTGAACCAGACAGATACGGGGCCTGAAATTAAGTAGCTGTGTGATCTTGGACAAACCTCTTGCCCTTCTTGGGCTTTACCTTCTACATCTTTAAAATAAGCTGACTGGCCTACAGTATCTCACAACTGTGCTACCAAGTTCTGACCAATGGGCACTTTTTTAGTTTTCTTGGACTTCTATAACACATTACCATGAAACTGGTGGTTTAGCACAATAGGAATTTATCCTCTCATAGCTCTGGAAGCTAAAAATCTGAAATCAGGGTGTCAGCAGAGCCATGCTCACTCTGAAGATTCTTACAGAAGGACCCTTCCTTGCCTCTTCTGGGCTTCTGGTGTCACCAGGAATCCTTGATGTTCATGAACTTGTGGCTGTGTCCGTCACTCCAGTCTCTGACTCTATGGTCACATGGTGTTCTCCCGGAGGGTCTGTGTGTGTTCTCTCTTATAAGGACAACAGTTACTGGAGCAGCCCCACCACCACCCTGACCCACCAATCCAATATGACTCATCTATCACTTTGCCATTCTACCTGCAAAGACCTATTTCCAAATAAGGTCACATTCTAAGGTTCTGGGTGGACACGAAGTTTGGGGGAAAACTATTTAGCTATTTCCTTTTATGTCTACCAAGGATACAAACTGACAGCAGTGTCCATCAGCAGATAATGAGCGGAACTGGTCATGCAGCCTCAAGAAGTTGTGCAGAGGGGGGCCCTCTATGGGAAAGAATGAGGGAGTACATCTGAGCATCCAGGCTGGTAGCAAAGGAAGGGAGCATGTTTAACGGAGTCAAAGAGACTGTGCCTTGCAGAGAGTGCAAAAGGATGTGCACAGCCAGACTAAACACCCAGGGTGTTCCAGGCAGTAAGCAGTTCTGTGCAATAGCAATGTTGTGCTGGGAATGACTGAGGAAAGAGTAAGATATCTAAAAGCTTTTCTCTCAGTTATAAGGCGGGGGGGGGGAGAACTTTATAACACTGCTGTCATCGTGATGAGTTTTGATTGATGGTGGGTTTCTTTGGGGCAGTTTTGAGTCATTTCATCTCTTCTAGTTGAGCACCAAAAAATTCAAGCATTTGGAGGGGTGTCCCACATGCAGGGAACCTGACAGCTAGGTTTGCCAAGCAGGGTTCAAGAGCTTGAGCTGTGGAGGCGACTCCAGGATGGAAGCCTGGCTCTCCCATTGCATTGGCTGTACATCTCTGGGAACATTAGTTCATTTCTCAGCACTCAAGCTCTGTTGTCTATAAATTGGAGATAATAGCAGCACCTTCTCTAGGATTGTGGCAAGGAGGAAATGTTGTATGGAAAATAATTCATGTGCAACATTAAACACAGTGCCAGGAACATAAAACTGTGCTTAATAAATGTTCGTTGTTATTAAAATATCTATTAATTTCTCCCTGTGCTGAAAGATCTTTTCCTAACAAAGGTAGAATCATGTTATTATTTCTCTCATATTAAAAGGGCGGGGGCTTTCTTGGCCCTGTTCACCTCCAACACCCTCCCTTTACAGCAAAATCTTGCAGAAGACTTGCTTATCCTCTGTGTCTCCAATTCCTCTCTTCCCATTTTACAAACAGGCCTTCACCCTCTCCCAATCCTTTTACTGACATTGTTCCTAGTTGCTGTGACCCCCATGACCTACATGTTGCTAAGTATAGCAGCCAAAGCTCACTCTTCATCCTGCAGGATGGTCAGCAGCTTGTGACCATTGACCATGCTCTCGTTCTTGAAATACTTTCTCACTTGGGTTCCTGGGTTCTCTTCCTACTTCCTTCCTTCCTACATCAAAGTCCCCCTAGGTCTTCCTCAAACTTCTCTTTTTTATCTGTACTCCCACCCTAAGTCTAACCCAGCTGTATGACTTTAAACATAATCTATCCCTGATGCACCACAAACTTGGATGTCCAGCCCAGCCATCTCCTTGTGGCTCTCAGACATCTCACACTTAACATGTTCAGAATCAGGGCGCTTGGGTGGCTTGGTCAGTTAAGCGTTGGACTTCCACTCAGGTCATCTCACAGCTCAGAAGTTCAAGCACCACATCTGGCTCCGTGCTGACAGCTCAGAGCCTGGAGCCTGCTTCAGATACTCTCTGCACCCCCCCCCCATCTCAAATATAGACAAACATTTAAAAAATTAACATGTTCAAAATCAATATTATTCCCCTGACAAAGGAGACCTGTCCCCCTAGGGAAATAACATCCTTCCAAATAACTCAAAGGAAGAATCTGGGAGTCATCCTGACTCTTCACTTTCTCTTACATCCTACATTGAACTCATCAGAAAATCCTGAAA